GGTTCAAATATTCATTTATAGAGCCTATCATTCGATTCTTGAGCAAAATATTCATTTATTGAGCCTTTATTCGCTTCTTGAGCCAAATATTTATCTGCTGAGCCTCTTATTTGCTTTTTGGGTCAAATATTCATTTGTTGAGCTTCTTATTTGCTTTTTGAGTCAAATATTGATGTAGTGAGCCTCTTCTTCGGTTCTTCAGCCAGTTATTCATTTCATTAGCCTCTTATTCACTTCTTGAGTCAAATATCCGTTTATTGAGCCTCCTATTCGCTTCTTGAGCAAAATATTCATTTATTTAACTTCTTATTCGCCCCATGAGCCACATACATATTCACGTGCTAAGCCAAACATTTCCTAGTTGAGCCTCTTGTTCCCTTGTTGAGACAAATATTCATTTCTTGAGCCTCTTAGTCTCTTTTTTAACAAAATATTGATTTGTTGAGTTCCTTATTCGACTCTAAAACCCTTTATTTATATCCACTTGAGCCAAATATTCACTTGTTAAGCTAAATATTCACCTGTTTAGCCAAATATTCACCTGTTGAGCCAAATATTCACTTGTCGAGACAAATATTCGTTTTCTGAGCCAAGTATTCACTTGTTGAACCAAATATTTTTTTGTTTATCCGAATATTTATTTCTTGAGCCAAATATTCAATTCTAGAGCTAAATATTATTTTTTTGAATGACTCACTTGTTTTTTGAGCCACCTGCTTATTTCTAAAGTAACTTATTTATTTAAGTTTTAATTTAATTTGTTTTTAATTTAATTACAAATGAATGTCTCCATTTGTTTCAAGAATTATGCATTTATTTCCTGTGCCACTTATTCAATTCTTGAGTCACTAATTTATTGGTTGAGTCATTTACACGCTTATTGAACCACTTATCCATTTGTTGAACTCCCTATTAATTTATTAACTCATTTATTTATTTTTTGCGCTATTTTTAAACTACTTTTCATTTGAAAAAAAAAAATCCTTACTTCAAATAATTTTCAAGGGCTCTTTATATATCTTTAGGGCAAAAACTCCGGCCCTGTCCTACTTATTCATCTACATTTACATCTACATCTACATCTACATCAAGATCTACATCTATATTCTATAGCACAGGTCTCTAGGAGACGAGAGCTAGAATTTCAAACTGGGAACTAACTTCGAAGAGAAAATAGCTGCAGTGAAAATTGATAGGGCGGCTGGTAGAAAAAATGGAATAAAAATAAATTAAAAATACTGTAAAAGCTTTTGGATACCAATTTATGTATTATATACAGAATAAGAAATCACCTAATTTATATTATTTTTGCTATCTTGTTATATCTGGGCAAATCAAATGTAAATCGTAAATCAATTTATCTCCACTACATTAACAATCGTCATCTCATTCCGAATTCAATTTCAAAAAAAAAAAATAGTTGCCTAATTTACACAAAATTCAAAAAGTGCTCCCGCATAGTCACAGTCTAAACGCATTTGCAAATAATTCTGTGCGACATTTTCACTTATACTGTGCTTAGCTTGGCGGCATTTTCACATTTTTCAAATGAAATGCCGCCGAGCTAAGCACAGTATAAGCGAAAATGTCGCACAGAATTATGTGCAAATGCGTTTAGACTGTGACTATACGGGAGCACTTTTTCAATTTTGTGTAAGTTATTAAGGCAATTTTTTTTTTTTGAAATCGAATTCGAAATGAAATAAAATGACGATTGGTTAATCACAAAATTGGAAAAGTGCTCCAGTACCTAAACAGTCTAAACGCACTTGGGTAAACATTTGTACCAGAGTGGCGCTCAGACTGTGCTTAGCCTGGGTACTTTTTTGAATTTTTAATCTAAAATTACAAAAATATTTTATGGAAAAAAGGATGTTAGAATTTTTTAACCTCAAAAGCAATTGTTTTGTCAATACAAGCAGAAAGATTTTTACATCATTCAAATCGGACGCTTAGTTCACTCAAAAACTGCCATGTTTTGCACATTCAGCTCTGTATCTACGTAACGGCTAGACCTGCTTTTGCCAAAAACTAATAACCTCTTCTCCCAATCATTACAAATTGAATAATATTTAGATCATTCAAATCCGATACCCCGTTTTCTCAAAAACTCGATTTGTATTTTCTGCACTCTTTGCTCCGTATCTCCGTAACGGCTGGACCTGTGTTTGCCAAAAACTAATCAGCACATCTCCCCATCAATAGGAATCGAATGTTTTTTTAAACCATTCAAATCGGTTGATCCGTGCGCCCGAAAGCGTGGACGAAAAAATGCGGACATACAAAACACACACACGCACACACATTCATTTAGTTTCTGAGGTATGTCTTAAAAATGTTCAGAAACCTTCAAAACGTCGAGAAATGCAAAAATTTACATTTTCGATTTTCGGCTCATTACTATAACTACCCTACGGGAATAAAAATATACTTATAAAAAGTGAAAAATAACTGGACAATTTTTTTTTAATTACAATATTTATTACAGCTGTTAAATAATATAACATATAGCAATAATGAAAATAATAATAACATAAATTTAAATAAATAAGAGTACAAAGGATAGAATTTACATTAAAATAATATTTGTAGTATGATGATTTAAGCAAATAATAATAAAAAAATAACTGGAGAAATTAATAAGGAATAACTAAAATATTTATCTATACATAAAAAATTGAAAAATATAAACTGTAATGCATAAATAATTAAAATTGAATTTGAACAAAATTTAGTAAAATGAATAGCATACTGCAAACAATAATACGTAGTAACAAAAAAAAATATATGTAGACAATTTGTATATTGGTGATCGCGATTTACAACATTTAACATGTATTTAGTGCAATATATTAAAAAATTCTGATACAGAATTATAAAAAATTAGCAAATCTATATAATTACTCTGACATACAAATTATAACATGTATTTAACGCAACTTATTATAATAATCAGATATACAATTATGAATAACAGATAAATCTCTATATTGGTGACCCAGACATTTCACATGTCCTTTACAATTTTACCACCGGCTCTCGGTCTATTACCTTGTAGCGTATTTTAATTTAAAAAACCTATTTAACGCAATATAATATAATATTCAGATATATATTTATAAAATACACTAAATCTATACATATGTGACTCAAACATTTCACATATCCTTTACAATTGTTCCACCGGCCCTCCGTCTATTACCTTGTAGCGCATGAAAAGTCTTTTGATGAAATACCGTAAAACGTGTTGTAAAAGACGTAAAAGAGAGAGAGTTCACAAAAAGTAATAGGTTTTAATATTAGAGTCGGTTTAATATTAAAAATATGATTTGCAGAACCGCTCTCTACTCTCTCTTCTCATGTTCAAATTGATACTGCTAGTAGGTAAGGTACTTGCAACTTTCATCTTTTGAAAGATGAAATAAGAGGTGAAAATATGTATAAAATGCATTGCAAACAGAAGTTAACGAGTAATAAATTTTATATTAATTTTAGGAGCTAATATATATATATATATATATATATATATATATATATATATATATATATATATATACATATATATATATACACCGTTGGTGTTGGCAGAGGACAGTGTATCGAGCGACTTGTAATGGATAACACAAAATGCTAATTTAGATTTCCATATTTTAAATTTTAAATTATAACACACTGATGATGAGACAAACCTACTCTCGAAACGTTTGTTCATATTTCCAAATTATTACCCATTATCCACTCAGAATACATTTGTTATATATATTAGGTTGTCAAATATCTCCCTTCCGCTTTTATAAATATATATATATATATAAAAGCGGAAGGGAGATATTTGACAACCTAATATATATATATATATTAAATGATAGAGTCTTGGATTTGTGAATATTTTGTAGAGTTTCGAGCAAGAAACCAAAAAGTAGTAAGAAACAAAAAAAGTTTTATAATAAACTATTTCTTTATTTATATACTGTCAAGAAACATGATCTTGATAAGATTTGAGCAAACAATATGTTTAAAAAAAGAAAATGGATTTTTTAATTAATAAAATAGTTGAAAAAATAATGATGTACAGAAATATGACATGATTAAAATGAAAATGATAAAAAGAAATGGGTGGATTATATATCATGATATTAAAAATGATAAAAAATTTTAAAAGTTTTGGAAAGTTTTAAGAAAAAGTTAATGACAAAATTGAACTAATTACCTGTATGTTTGAAAATACGTCAGCACTTTATCACTAAAAAAGATTTTAATTTAATTTCAATAATTTAAGTATTTACATCCTCACATATAAAAACACACACACACATCCTTACAGTCTTCAAGTAGCGCACGTGAGACTTAGAATCAGTTCGTTACAAACAGCCGATCTCATAACATCGAGAGAATAATATTATTTGTTTTCAAATAACAAACTTTAAAAAAGACAACTTATAGTAATTTTGATTTACAAAATTTACCTATTGGGCTGAAAAATAACTCAAATTCATTTTTTGATAAAATCCTTTTTAGTGAAAAAGTGCTAAATGCTAGTATTTTCAACCATACAGGTAATTAATTGCAGTAAGTTATTTTATTTATACTCATAAACAATATTAAAGGAGATGCAAGTGTTATTAGAAACTCAAAATATCAACTTTTTGGCTTTTTGGCTACGGAGTCTGTAATCTAAAAAAAACTCTTTTGTATAAATTTATACTCATTTGTAAAATGAAAACAGATTGATATGGTTTGGTTAAAATAATTGAGCAATTTCATCATTTTTATCAACTTCGTAATTATATTTATCAAATATTAAGCTACAAAAATTAGATTTCAAGATAATGCATTATATGTATTTTTCTGTGGGAAATATGCAATTTGATACTTTTGTTTTTGCCTAATTTTGAAAAAAAAATTCAAGCCAATTATATATATTATGATAAAAAATAGTAAAATAGTAAAATAAGATTTAAACAAAAATAAGACTTAAATGTATTTTTTTTTAATTTCAGCACACATCGAGCATATCAGAGAAGTCGCAGGAATCGATCATGTCGGAATAGGAGCAGGATATGATGGAGTTAATTTGTAAGTATAAATTTATATATAAATTATAAATAAATATATATATATATATATATATATATATATATATCACATCATGTACAGATATTATCAAAGTCAGAATAAAATAAGTATTTTATCAGGACACGTATCAGACCCTCTTTTGACATGAGATATTCTAGTGTGAATAATATTAGTGATAGATCATACCTCCGTTTATTTGATATATGGACATTTGAATATATATATATATATATATATATATATATATATATATATATATATATATATATATATATACATCTATAAATTTTCGTATGACAAATAGTTTGATTGCACGATGGCGTAAATCTTTATGATGTGCAGAGAAACGTGACAAAAATATTTCCAAATATATATATGTTATTCACAAAAATATATTCGGCTAAATTTATGGATATATATATATATATATATATATATATACTAGATGACCCGACAGATATTGTTCTGTACCTACGTCTACAATTCAATAGTTCAAAATTTTTTAATATCCTATTCTATACTTTTTAACATCCTATTTGATGTCTTATCTTTATAACTCATTTATGGTCTTATTATAAACAGTATAAGAAATTCAGAAAAAAATAATATAGTATCTGCGATAAAAGAACAATATCACACTTGATTTTACCACACAACATAATTTCTTCAATAATTTAGTCGATAATTTTCAAAATCTCATACGTCATATTAGTTAATCTTAAAAAATTTTTTTGACAAACTCTAAAAAGAATTATCAGAATCCGAATAACCCTTCAGGAAAAATATTACAACATACACCCGTACAGAAGAAATGTATATATATATATATATATATATATATATATATATATATATATATATATAGATAATTTAAAACTGTGCTCACAAAATTCTTCAAAATAGAATGAATATTTTTAACCCCACTGTAATACATTTTGAGAAAAATTAATACAAAAGACGAATTTGCAAATGATCTTATTTAACTATTTATAATGATAAATAAATAAATATAATAAACTCCACATGCTTTTTCTCATTATGAATTTATGTCGTAGATAAAAACATATTTGTTTCTTTCTAAATTAGCAAAAATTTTAATTTTTCTAACTGTCAAATTTTGCCCGATATATGTATAATGTAATATTTCTACTATGAATTGTTAGTAATGTTATTTTTGAGATCTTGTTTATTAATTAACAAATGTAAAATAGATATTTATATTTATATGGAAGTTTTATATTAACAGTAAAAATCAAATTTATTTAAACATTTCATCAATAAACGATGCTATTTCATAAATAATGGTGCTTTACAAACTATTATGAAAATTATATCACAAAAAATTAAGACAAAATTATTGTTTTTCTATCTAAAAACAGATTATATTTCATTTTTTAAATCTTTTTCATTTAGTTGAACAAAAATTTCATTTAGTTTATTAGAAAGATTTATATTTTATTTATATGGATGTTTTCAGCAATATTGACAACTGTTAGTTCACAGTGTTTTGTTTTTATTAAATTCTTACCTGTTAAAATTAATGGAATTTTATATAAATTTCATACCTTGGATATGAACTGAGATTTTTAATATTGTCTATAACCTAAGTTGGATATAAATACACACGATGAGGCAAAAAAAATTAAAATCGGTTCAGTAGTTTAGGCGTCTATTACAAATAAACGTTTTGAGACAAACATATATATATATATATATATATATATATATATATATATATATATATAAACATAATAAATAATAAATCAATTTATCTTGTTTTTGAGAAACATTGACAACTGTCATTGTACAGAATACTCTTAAAATTCGTCTTAAAATAATTGATTTTATTAAAATTTTATTATTTAGAATATGAACTAAATTTTCTAATATAGCCTATAACCTAAGTTGAATATAAATGCAAAATATGAGCCAATAAAATTTAAAATCGGTTCAGTAGTTTAGGAGTACATTCAGGACAAACATCAGATGAAAGCCATTGGTAGGTTAAAATACATCTTGATATAAATTTCATTAGATGATGTATTGTTTTCGATATTTCATTTCCGTGGAATAAGTTTGTTATTTATTACTGACTGGTACTAAAACTAAGAATCCATTAACTAGAGTTTATATATATATATATATTATATATATATATATATATATATATATATATATATATATATATATATATAATTTTAGTAGCATATGTTCTCGACTTGCACGTAGGCGATATAAAACAGTGATTTAATATTGCATAGAGCACGTACCTGTGTACGATATATATATATATATATATATATATATATATATATATATATATATATATTATATATATACATGTGTTTATTATGTTTGTCGAGTATTGTATATAGTGCAGTGTACAGTATTTGCAGAATCTAAAATCTAAGGCACGTATTTCACGCCCGCTCTATTGAATTTGCAGAAGGTAATTTTCTACAAAATTGGAAAATTGGATAATTGCATCCCGATATATATATATATATATATATATATATATATATATATATATAAATATTCTTGACTTGAAAATTTTAGGGTGATAAATTTATTAAAACAAATCGTTCATTTTGATATAAGGATTACTATAGATATAAAATGATGATCAGTCACGATGTTTGTCCGGAATAAACTACTAAACTGCTAAACCGATTTTAAATTTTATTGGCTCAAATTGTGCATTTATATTCAACTTAGGTTATAGGCCATATTAGAAATCTTAGTTAGTATTATAATGATTAAAATTTGATAATTTTCTGTAAATTTTGACAGGTACGAATTTTTTAAAAACAATTTGAAAAGATAGCTGTTTTTGATTTACTTTTTATTTACTTATAAATATGTTATAAATCACAACTTACGGTCAAAAAATGACCTTAGTCAGTCAGTAAAATAATTATAGACAGTTCAAACATTTATTTGTTTTTGGATAATTCAAAAAGAAACAACAAGTAAGTCAATAATTAAAGGAGTCGGGTCAAAGTCAATTAATAATGAGAACAAGATATAATAAAGTGGCAAAAACTCACGAAAAAAGATATAATATTTTTAACTAGCCCATGTACCTCTAGATAATATATTTCAGTATCAATTATCTAAAATATCATCCGAAATCTATTATCTTTTATCTATTTCCAGGTGATAGTATTTGCGGTGGTGATGTGTTTTGCACCGATGAATTTCCTCATATTATCGAAATATCATATATCACATCACATTCGAAGATAATAATATGGAGTAGAGATAGGAGCATATCTTGTCCTTGTTCTTGTTCTTGTAACTTGGTTCTAACACGTAATTTCAATTCATACGTTTCGAGATATGAGAGAAAGACGACGACGACGGTGGAGGACGGTGGAGTGCAAAGTTTTGCTTTGTATTAGTCTCGGGATTGAATATATATATATATATATATATATATATATATATATATATATATATATATATATATATCGTGATAGTTTTTTCGACGTTGAAACAAGAGTAACTAGCAGCCCATTCGTCAAAATAAAAAAAATTAAAAAGTATTAAATAAAAACCTTTTATTTATACGTTTCGACACAAGATGCATGTCATCATTCAGCAACACCAGGACAAAAGCACAAAAACAAAAACAAATTTTTAAGGAAATTAACATTGATGATAACATTGATTAATAGACTGTCAGCAGTCTAGTCTTTTGCTTGAAATAGGCATGTTTTATGTGTCATAATGTGTTACCGTTTATAACTTTATTCAAAATTGTTTTAATTTTTTTTGTTTATTCATCATTTTTATTTTTTCCATATGATTGTCATGATACAATGTTAATTTTTAATATATATCCTCTTAGCATCTTCATAGATTCCTCAACACCATGGTAGATCCCTCAACGTCTCGGTGGATCCCTCAACGTCTTGGTAGATCCCTCAACGTCTTGGTAGATCCCTAAACGTCTTGGTAGATCCCTCAACGTCTCGGTGGATCCCTCAACGTCTTGGTAGATTCCTCAACGTCTCGGTGGATCCCTCAACGTCTCGGTGGATCCCTCAACGTCTTGGTGGATCCCTCAACGTCTTGGTAGATATCTCAACGTCTTGGTAGATATCTCAACGTCTTGGTAGATATCTCAACGTCTTGGTAGATATCTCAACGTCTTGAAAAATCTTTTCAAACTTTTGTAGAGCTCTGTTAGTCTTGGTAGGTTTATAAACATTTCTATAGATCTCTTAATGTCTTCTCAGATCACTCAGCATCTTGCTAATTCTTTCCCTCCTTGAAGCCATCTAAACCTCCCTGAGATCTCTGAACCTCCATGTAGATCTCTGAACCTCCCTGTAGATCTCTGAACCTCCTAGAGGATATAAAATCTCCCTGAAGATCCCGTTAAACACATAGGGGATATCTTTACATCCCTGACGATCTCTTTGCTTTTCAGAGAATCTCTAAACCTCCCAGAAAATCTCAAAACCTCCCATAGGATCTCTAAACCTCCCAGAGGTTCTCCTTCCTAAAGATCTTTTCAGCTCCCTGAGGTCTCTTGGTAGATCTTTAACCGCCTGACGGTCTCTTAAGCGCCATGATAATTGTTTTGCCTACCGGAAAATCTTTTCACCTCCCTGATATTTTCTACACCTGCCTGAAGATCTCTACATATCCCTAGAAATCTCTGCATCTCCATAAAGATCTCTTCACCGTCTAGAGAATCTCTAAACGTCCTAGAGGATTTTCAAACCTCCCAGAGCACTTCTAAACATCCCAGAGGATCTCTAAACCTCCCAAAGGATCTCTAAACTTCCTACAGAATCTCTAAACCTCCCAAAAGATGTCTAAACCTCCCGGAGGATCTCTAAACCTCCCAGAATATCTCTAAACTTCCCAGAGGATCTCTAAACCTCCCAGAGGATATTTTTACCTCCATGAAAATATCTTTACTTTCCTGACAATATTTTTGCCCCACTGACAATCTCTTCACCTCCGTCATAATCTCTTTATCTCTTTGACAATCTCTTTGCCTCCTTAAGAATCTCTGTCTCCCTGGAAAACTTTTTGCCTCGCTGGATATCTCTGATCTTTGAACCTCCGTGAAGATTTTCATACCTCTGTGAAGATTTTCATACCTCCCTGAGAATCTCTATACCTCTCTGAGAGTCTCTAAACCTCCCTGAAGATCTCTTCACCTTCCTGAAGATCTCATCACCTTCCTCGAGAACTCCCAAAGGATCTCTTTACCTCCCTGAAAATCTCTTTACCTCCCTGAGGATCTCCTTGAAGATCTTTACACCTGCTTGATCTCAAAATCTACAAAATCTTATACATCTCCCACTTCCTTATAAACATCTCATCCGCCCACCTTTCTCTCCACCTTCATCTACAATATTTCCTGCTAAATTCCTCCCACAACGACCCATCTTCACCTACACTTTCCACTCCTCCACCGTAGTATTCTAACATTGAAATGGCCTCATAAAATTAATCCGTTTTGGAATTTCTATGGTCGTCCGATCGGACGAACGCACGACGAAGTTAAACTTTCTTGCTTCCGAATCCTTTTACAGACGAAGCTTTATCAAAGGGGTTGATTCTTCGAAGTTGGAAGCCATACGCTGAATATATAATACGGGGATTGAATTATATAATAAATACTAGTATACAGGGCTATACAATAATGGGAAAAGAAATATTTAAATCGTTTGAAGACCTGAATTGTCGTGTATGCTTTATTTGTTGTATGGAGTGATCATTATTGTATTATAAATTTAATCAATTATTTTATACATTATATCCTTTACAATTATCTGTACTAAGATTTCATGCCACACAATTCTAAATTATGATCCCATCCACAGACCTCTAACATTACGATTAAGACCCCGTTTAAAGCAATTCCCCCAATTATCTCGCATCCACCCTTACTCCACCGTACTTTACCTTTCCTCCACCGTACCGTGTTTTACTCTCTTTTCGCCCCATGGACAAAACTTTAAGTTTAGCACTTGAATAACACGTGACCTAATTGCAAAATGAATTAACGACGCAATTTCTATGTTCTTTGTAGCACTTTTGGGTTGTTTTCAATTTAGGGGAGACCTGGGATTTTAAAATAAACGTCTTTGGAATCAAATTATGTAATAAAACTTGTCTACCAATAATCACTAAATTTACAAACCTAATTCAACCCTTTTACTCTACTACTTTATACTATATTAAATGATTCGACAGACTTTGTCTTGTACCCACATCTACATTTCAAAAGTTCAAAATTTTTAATATTATCTCCTATACTTTTTAATATCCTATTTTATGTCTTGCCTTGGTGATTCATTTATGGTCTTATCATAAGCAGTATAAGAAATTCAGAAAAAAACTATTTTGGCATCGCAATTAATTTTTTTTATATTTCTTATTTGAAATCAAGTAAAACATAAATATATTTATTTAATATTTTTCCATAAATAGTTAAAAACTTGTTATAATTTGCAAAATTATTTTGTATTTCATATTTCAAAAATTAATTTACTCGCATCATAGTTTTTTGCTTATTATACTTTTGTCATGTCAAATATGTCAATCATTTTTTGAATGTTTCAACTAAAAAATATCTCTTAAAATTACTATAAAATTATTTTACGTCATCAATGAATAAATTACATAATTGTTAAATCCATAGGTTTGGCTAAATCAGCTCAGGAATATTCTAGAAATAAATATTTTTTTACATAAAGGTCTGATTTTTGACATTTGCATTTTATTTCAAATTAATTATAACTATCAAAATATTTTCTTTTCATTCGAAATTTAATATAATATGATATAATATTTAGTGATATGATACCCTCAGATTGTACTATTCTATTTAAGAGGTTACAATTTTCTGTAAGATTAGAATTTGCGATGACAATCAAAATATATCTCAACTGATATATTAATAATAATATTATATTTTAATTACACAAATTTCTTCACACTTCGATAATTAATTCCAACGCATCATAGTGTTTTGTTTATTTTAATTTTGTTTATGTCAATTTTTATTTAAATTAATTAATAAATTAGATTTTAGACTAAATCAACGCAGAATCTTTATCTAAATATACGATTTTTTATATAAATATTTGATTTTTTACATTTGCTTTTAATTTAAAAATAGTGAATGTCAATTTCATATATTCAATGTGCACTAAATTTATAAATGCCAAAATATTTCCATCTTGGTCGAAAATTAATATATGATAAAATTTATATTACAATAATGTTTTCTATCTATAATTTGATTGGCAATATTGCCTATAACATAACTTGGAATAATTAATATATTTGTTTCTTATTAAAGACCTTAAAAATTCATTTTTTGAACTGTCTAAATTTTGTTTATGATTAATTTTAAATTCTTTTCATTGTTTTAAATTCTTTTTATTGTGATCTATAATGGTTTGATGAATTTTTGGTATCCGAAATAATTTGGTGAGCTAATCAAATAAATATAAATTATAAATTTATTTATCTAATTATTTTCATAAATATTGACAAATGACATTTCACTTTTTTTCGTGTCAACATTTATTTAAATTTATAAACATTGATTTTTAATTAGATTTAAAACTATAAACATTGATTTTGAATATAGCATTTCATCTAATTTGGATATAAATGTTGGATATTATATATATATATATATATATATATATATATATATATATATATATATATGTTTTTGAAAAAATCTAATCTTTTTTTCTCGAATTTTCCATACATTTTGACATTTGTCATTTTAGTGTTTTGTTTTTTTAGTAATTTTCTGTCAAATTTTTTTGAAATTTATAAAAATTATATATTTATATTTTAAATTTACTTTTCAAAATTTCCTATAACCTAAGTTGGATATATATGCACACAATAAGCCAATAAAATTTAAAATCGGTTCAGTAGTTTGGGCGTCGATTGCGAACCAACATCGTGACACGAGGTTTATATATGTATATATAGATGTAGTTTTCGATGGACTTTTGTTAGTAATTCCGTTAAGTGCAAGCCATGTTGTTCTTTCATTATAATAACCGTTACAAAAACCACCATAGATGGCTCTCACGAGTTTTGTTTTTCTTGCTCCACCGCAGTCGGAAGCAAGTGGTAAATGCTCCACCGGCAAAAGTTGGAACTCCATGTAATATAACTTTGTGTTATATTAGCCGATAGTTTAGGTCGAAGTAATAAGTATATAGAGATAATAGACATTTTTTAAATTAAACAATTGTTTTTTTTTGTTTCAGAGTGCCAAGAGGTCTAGAAGACGTCTCAAGATATCCTTTTCTATTCCAACATCTTCTGGCAACTGGAAGATGGTCAGAAATGGACCTAAAAAAATTGGCAGGACAGAATCTGTTGAGAGTGTTACGACAAGTAGAAAACGTAAGTCAATTCTATAAATTTCTTTTTACAAAATATTTTTCCCTCTCGTTAGTTTTATTTTTAAAATAATTCGCTTCACAAGTTTTACCTGCGTCTCCACAGTAGAAAAAAAAAATAGAAAAAAGTTCATCATATCTACTGCTGCTCCTCTTTTTCGCGTTATATTTTCTTTTACGATGAGGAATTTTTTGAAAAGCAATTGAACTGCAATGAAAAGTTGTTTTTCGTTTTTCCAATCGAAACTAATACGAAGTTTTGCGTCTTTGCTGGAAATATTTTGCTAACTTTACGAAATAGACAGGGAGTCGAAGAGATACTTGTTAAGCTTCTTCATTTTACTTATGAGATAATTTTTTTTTGTAGTTTATTTTTGCATTTTTAGTTTACCAGTTAAATTGTTAATTAATAAAGTTACTTAAATTAATTATGTAATTGGCTGAATCATCAACTAGTTGGCTAAAAAAGACATCAATTAGATTGATAGTAAATTCGTTATTTAGGTGGCTCATTCAATCATCAATTAGATGAATATTAAATACATTAATTACTTGGCTAATTAATTAAATCATCAATAAGTTGGTTAATTAAATCATCATTCCCTTGGTTAATTAAATCATTCCCTTGGCTAATTAAATCATCAATTAGTTGACTAATTAAGTAATTAATTAGTTGGCTAAGTCAGTCATTAATTAAATGGCTAAATAATTTATCAATTAATTGGGTAACAAAAATCAATTAGCTGGGTAACAAAAATCAAATAGTTGGTTCATTAAATCATCGATTAGTTGGTTAATAAAAACATCAATTACTTGGCTAATTAAATAAAATAGTTTGCTAATTAAGTCATCAGTAAGTTGGCTAATTAAGTCATTAGTTAGTTGGATAGCTAAATTATCAATTAGTTGGCTAATTAGATCATCAATTAGTTGGCTAATTAGATCATCAATTAGTTGGCTAATTAAATCATCAATTAGTTGACTAATTAAGTAATTAATTAGTTGGCTAAGTCAGTCATTAATTAAATGGCTAATTAATTTATCAATTAATTGGTAACAAAAATAAATTAGCTGGGTAACAAAAATCAAATAGTTGGTTCATTAAATCATCGATTAGTTGGTTAATAAAAACATCAATTACTTGGCTAATTAAATAAAATAGTTTGCTAATTAAGTCATAAGTAAGTTGGCTAATTAAGTCATTAGTTAGTTGGATAGCTAAATTATCAATTAGTTGGCTAATTAGATCATCAATTAGTTTGCTAATTAGATCATCAATTAGTTGGCTAATTAGATCATCAATTAGTTGGCTAATTAGATCATCAATTAGTTGGCTAATTAGGTCATCCATTAGTTGGCTAATTTGGTCATCAAATAGTTAATAGTCATTAATTAGTTGTCTTGACTAGTTGGAAATCATCAATTAATTAGCTAATTAAGTCATCAATCAATTGGCTAATTTATTAATGTATTAGTGTGCTAACAAAGTCGTCAAATGACTAAGGAAATTATCGATTAGTTGGCTAATTATTTCTTCAATTAATTAGATAATTAAATCATCAATAAACTGTCTATTTATAGAATCAATTTTTGGCTAATTGAAACATCAATTAACATCCTAAATAAATCATTAATTGGTTTTCAAATTAAATTATTTACTAGTAAATTAAGTTCTCAATTAGTTCTTTGAAAAATTGAATCATCTAATAGCTTACTAACTATATAATTAATTACTGATTTGAACATTTCATCAATTAGTTGGAATCAACTAGAATTAATATTTAATTAGAAATTTGAATAAACAACTAATTAGCAATTTAAATTTATTAAGTTGTTAGCAAAATGAATTATTAGCTAACTTAAATTGCTAATTAGGATATAAATTTACTGGCTAATTAAATTGTCAATAAATTAGCTTATTAAATTATTAATTACCTTACGAATTAAATAGTCAATCAACTCACTAATCAAATCATAAATTGAATTGATAATTAAGCAATAAATTAACCGGAGAATTAAATAATCACCGAACAAGCAAATAATTTTTTTAACTAATTGGCTAATTAAATAATTAATTAGTCCGATAAATCAATAATGAATTGCCCCATGTATTGAATCGTTATTAAACGTGAACTAATTTATTAATTAAATGATTAATTAAGTAATAAATATACTGGCTAATTAAATCATCAATAAACTAGCTAGACAAATCATTAATTAACTGACTAATTAAATAAACAATCAATTGGCTAATAAAAACCTACAACTAGTTTCCAACTATAAATCATCAATTAGTTTTATGAATTAAATCATAAATTAATTTTGCTAACTAAATATTCAGTTAGTATTCAAACAATCAATTAATTAGCAAAGTTTTTAGTGAACTAAGTTATTAATTACACGTATAATTAAATAATTAGTGAAATGTAATTTAAAACAATAAAGATTTCTATAATATTAAAAATTAAATGATATATTATTTGATGAATGTAAGAATAAATTAGTTAATTAACTAATTAGTCTTCAAGTTGTAAAATATAATTGATAAGGATAAAAAATATAAATATAAATATTATTAAACATGAATACATTAAATATTATTATACATGAAGTATTAATTTGGAAATTATTACTAAAAATATATTACTTGAACGTTTTTGGAATCTGGTATTCAAACATAAAGTAATGCTAAAATTTGCTTCTTGTTTTTTTTTATATTTGAGTAAATTGTGCCATAGCCATAAGTCTAAGCCCCATGTAACATACATATGTATGTTTGTATGTTTTCTATGAGAAAATTGCGAAAAAAGTATAAATTTTCTACAACTTTATAACATCTGCAAAAGTTTTTCCGAATGTGAAAAACAACATTCGTAGATAAATATCAATCTTTTTATCGACGATTTTATCACATGTGTAATAAAATCTATTCTGATATTTTGGAAAAACAATGGAATAAAAAAGAAAGTTTATGTGCTAAAAAAAACTACTATCATTTGATAAAAAAATTACTAGATAACTCATATATTTAGTTGAAACTGAAAAATAATTTGAGTCGTAATTTATAGAAATAAAATAGTAACAAAAATGATTAATTGAACAACAAAATAAAAATAAAACATTAAAAAATAAAAGGTCGTAAAATATATGGGCATAATAATTCGACTTACATGAAAACTGTATAATTAATATAAATTTATGTAATTCTATAAAAATGTTATAATTCAATAAATAATATATAATTGATATGAACAAAAATAAAAGAAAAATTGATATGAAGAAAATTTACATGAAAAGATGTAATATAAAAAATCATGACAATATATAGTGACACAAAAAACTAATTAAAAAGCGATATAATAAAATGATAAAAACATAAAAAAAGAAATAATTGAACAAATAATAAAAATAAAATATAAAACAATAATAAATCGTAAAAAAAATAGGTATGATAATTCGTCTTATATGGAAAAAGGTAAAACTAATAAAATGTACTTTATAGAAACACATTATTAACACATTCATTTATCAAAAAGAATGATACTTAATTATGAGCTTTTATTAAATTATTCTACGGGTTAAAATAACAAATGGAAATGTGAAAAATTATCAAATAGAACAAATACAACAAATAGAACAAATTTATAATGGATGTGCACATAAAAATCTCATGTAATTAAATATTTGCACAATCCGCATTCGCAAATGCGAATAATTCATTTTCAAGTGTTTGCTGTAATGTACTTACTGCACTTGAATTAAATATATATATATATATATATATATATATATATATATATGTGTGTGTGTGTGTGTGTGTTTGTGTGATACGGTTTTCCGTAACAAATTAAAGCTTTTCATTACGAATGCACAATGGAAGCACTTAGCAATGAAATATAACGGCTTTGTTTCCCAAACACACGATGTGATTCTTTTAATTTAATACGAGAGCCCGGAAAATATTTTTCCGGTATTAAATTGATTAAATTGAATCTAAATTAATACAGTAATTTTGTCGTAATACAGCGTTGTCGTGGCAACGCTATCTTATGTTGATTTTTGGTAGTGGATTTGAAAAAATGCATGTTTGTTTGCCGCGCGATCAGGAGTATTTTACATATAAACAAGTAAGGAGGCATGTTATGATAACAGAATCTTCGAAAACTTGCTCAAAAAATTCTAAGTATGCCAGCTTAATTGATGAAAAAGTTATGATTTTGCTTTTTTATTTTTTATTTATAATCAATAAAGCCCTGTTGTCTCAAAATAAGTATTCTCATTTTTTTATTATCTATTTATTTGTATTTGTTTATATTTGTACTTTACAATTTACTTGTAAATATATTTCGTGTTTTGTGATATTTTTAAAAATTGCATAAACATATTTTATTGCAGTGGTTCAATCCTTCATTTGATAATCCATATTATCAGATTTAATAATACTTCTGAATCTTTGCATTTAGCAAATTGTAGTCGCCCTTTTTGCTCAGAATCTCTTAAAAGGCTGAACCTGCCTTTCACAAGAACTAACCAACACTTTTTATGGCCGTCAATAAGTATTGCATTTGCTCCCGAAATCGTCGATAAATATTGTATACGCATATACATATACACACAAATGTTTTTCATTTTTTCTAAAGTTTGCCAAAATGTTACGAAGACTTTAGTTCATAATTTTTTTGCGAATACTTTAAGTTACACTACGGGACATTCCGCAGTATATTCTAATTTATAAATTAAAAAAAAAATCAATATTAATGATTAGACATTTCAAAATGTTAATATATTGAATTTTGCAATTATAAAATGTTAAAAAACAGAATACTTCAATTTTATCTAAATACCAAATCGAGTGAATCATTAGTCTGAAAGTTTAGATAACTAAAACACAATTTTTTTATAAAAAAAATTAATAATGATGTAAATTGAAATTTACTGATGATGAAAAACTCGACATCTAATTTCTGTACTCTTTGCTCCATATCTTCGTAACGGATGGACTTGCCTTTGCCAAAAACTAATCAGCACATCTACCTATCAATAGAAATCGAATGTTTTTTGAATTAATCAAATCGGTCGATCTGTCAACCTCCAAAAATATATACAAAGATTATATCCACGCAATAAATACACACATCGATTTTTTTCTAAGATTCTAATGTAGAAAATATAAGTAACACGGTTGAATTTTAAAATAGTTTTGTAGTTTCTTGAATTCCAAAATATTCTAAGTATTGTAAAATCAATTTAAAAATGCACAAGATATATAAAAATTATCTAAAAACAGTAAAAATTCATTTCTGGGACATTTATTAATCATACTAAATATGCCTTATATCTTTTATTTGACAAACAAAACTATTAAATAATTATTTAAAGTTAGTACGATTTTTATGAGAATGTGGAAATATTTTTTTGAGAAATGGATAATTATGTTTTTTTCATAAATATTGAATATGTATATTTACTAGCTCGCTCACTATAAATAAATCCTGGGTGCAGAAAGTAAAACATTTTTGGTATACAAAGGAAAAAAACGATACAAACTAGCTGTAAGTGGAATTCTGTCTTAAGGCAATTAGGGCATCGTGCCTTAAGGCAAATTGCTGGAACTTCCCGTACCAAAAATTATTATTTTTTTAAAAACGATTAACATTTTTGAAAAAATTTTACTTCGAAAAAAATAGATTTTTGAGAAACTATAAATTTGACAAAAAAATACCGTTTTTTTGAAAAAAAAAATTTTTTATTTGAAAAAAAAATTTTTTTTTGAGAAAAAAATTTTTTTTTGAAAACAAAAAATTTTTTTGAAAAAAAAATGTTTTCTTCATTTTGACATATTTTGAAAATTCTGAACTTTTTTTCAAAGCAATCGCACTGCTTGAACTGCATAGAGACGAAATGTCAAAGCTCGCAGGTGCCGCGCCGCCGTCTAACGCATAAGCATTGGTACGGAACCCATAGAAATGTAAAAAAAATTTATACTTATTGTTAAAATATCTATAAAATATCTGACAATTTGATGTGCATATGTCTAATGATCATTTTTAACCGCCGAATGGCATTTTTTTTTACTTTTTTCATTAGATCTCCGAAACCGCTAGGCCTGCCTTCATGAAAATTTGATCACTTCTACATCTTGTCAATACAAGTAAAATGTTTTTTGAATTATTCAAATCGGACGCTCCGTTCTCTTAAAAACGGAGGTACTGTTTTTGGCACTTTGCCCCGTATCTTCGGAACCGCTGGACCTGCCTTCACCAAAAACTAATCAGCACGTCTCCTTATCAATACGAATCGAATGTTTTTTGAATTATTCAAATCGGTTGATCCGTGTTCCCGAAATCGTCGACGAAAATTTGTATCCGCACATACATACACACACATACATACATACATACATACATACATACATACATACATACATACATACATACACACACACACACACACACACACACATACATCCATTTTTTCTAAGGTATGCCAAAATGTTCAGAAACCTCTGAAACGTAAAGATATATAAAAATTTTCATTTTCGATTTTTTTGCGATTACTATAACTTACCCTACGGGAAGTTAAAAATTATACCATATATTATACGATAACCTTTGCTCTAATTGTCGCCAAAAGGAAAACAATTGGACACAACATTAAAAACAGAGTAAATATATATATATATATATATATATATATATATATATATATATATATTAATAGTTTTGAATGTGATGTTGATATATTTTATATTGTATATTTTGTTTAAGTATTAGTAGGAATAGTATGAAAGATTTGAGAAATTTATTTAAAATCAATACATTTCGGCTAACATCTTAGCCTTCATTCAAATTTGAAATAAAATATTCTATCTAAGTAAATTTAATTTGTAATAGTTTAAGAATAAAAATGATAATAATAACAAACTAATCTAAAAAGAATTAATAATTTGGAATTTGCCAAAAAATAGTTTAACAAATTATATCGCTTCATGATTTAAAATAATGAGTAAATTTAATTTAATTTGCAAAAAAATTAATATTTAATAAAATTAATAAAAACAAAATGTAATGAAAACACTTTTGTATTTTATATCAATAATATCGAGTATGTTTGTAATATATCATAATTTTTAAAACTCTGTCTAATAATTTAAAAAAAACAATTCATTTTGCCTAGAATACATTAATTGTCTTCAGTACTATAAGTAAATTCAACTCTTTTTTAAAAAAAATATTTTATTTATGTATATATTTCAATATACATTATTAATTCGTCGAATGCAGATATTATATTTGCTAAAATTATATATATATTTATAGTAACTATTAATAAATTAAAAAGTTATGAGTACATTCTTTAGCAAGATTTATTTTATTAACTAAAATTGAATGTAACTTTGCTTTACTTGTTAATAATCGAATGGATTTCTATACCGAAATATATATATATATATATATATATATATATATTATTCGGGAAATATCTCAATATTTGAATTATAAAAGGGTCTAAGCGAAAGGGTTCGAACATATAAGCCTTAAAGCAATTGTATTCATTGAAAGTGTAAAATGATATTATAAACTTAAAGGTCTCCACATTTCTATCCATATATAACATTTTAGGTATTGTTAGACTAAACCCCTTATATTTCAATTAAATTTGATATATATATATATATATATATATATATATATATATATATGAATTTATAATAGAAGTTGGTTTAGAAAAACCAAACTAAAATCCGATACAACTACGAACAAGAACAAGTTCATTAAATTAATACTTTTTAATCTACTAGTTATTGATTGGAAAAAATCTACAATATCGTTAAAAAAATTATAAAATTTTGTTTATATCTAATATATAATAAAAATCTAACCAAATATCCTTTAGTCCTTCCACAAACTTTATAATACTCATAGATAAACTTTCCTAAATAACTATTTTCTAGTGTAATGTCTAAAAACTTGAGTAAATAAATTTGCAGTTTTTTTTAAATAATTTTCATATTATTACTAGCTGACCCTGCCACGTTTTGCTGTGGCACAATGTGCTTGAATGGTTAAGAGATGACAAAACAAATAATTCATTTCGAAATAAATCGCTCAAATAAATTATTATTTTATTAAATTATATTACTATAAAAAACAATACGATTACATAAAAGTTCATTTATTTAAGTAAACATTTAATGAAGAAAGTATAATAATCTGAATTAGCTCCAAATTTGTGTGCAAATATCAAAATCAAGGCATCGTCGCCGGTAAAAAAGGGTAAAATTAAAAAAAAATGCGTTTTTGGGTTTGTAGGTTTGTGGGTATGTGACTGGTGTAAAAATGGGTATTAACCATTTCAAACATAAATTATATATCATATTAAAAATTCAGCTCGGATAAGTATAATAAAATTGTTCTTGGGCATCTATCCAGTAATTAAAAACAGTTTCATTGAAATAAAATATTTTTATTAACAAAACATACGTTTCGGGTCTAGATTTGATCCATCTTTAGTGCATACAAATAAATTAAATGTTACACAAACTCCAAGCGGACAACATGTTTCGTTTGGAAAAAGTTTTTTTATATTTATTTTTTATTTTTATTTTAATTTTACAATTATTTAAAATTTATCATAACTCGACGTTTTATCAATTTGTGTTTCATATTTTTTTCGTGCAATTTTCGTGTGTTTTTGTCTTTTTTTTTTTAATTTACTTATATGCACTGAAGATGAGTCAAATTAAGACCCGAAATGTATGTTTCCTTAATGAAAATATTTTTTTTTCAATAAAACTGTTTTTAATTACTGGATGGATGTCCAAGAATAATTTTATCATATTATTTCACAATCTGAAGAAAAACCTTTCGCTTTATATATATATATATATATATATATATATATATATATATATATATATATATATATGTAGATATTACTTTGCAATATATTTTTATCAATATCTATTATATTTTTAATTTAACTAATTTTTTATAGTATCTATAAAATAATTTTTATTTATACGTTATTAAGATATTTACAAAATTATTCTGTTAGTATCTTTAATTGAGTAAGACTAAAAAAATTGAATAAAAAAATAAATTAATCAGTTTTAATTCTTTATGAAATATAGTAATATATATATATATATATATATATATATATATACTTTATTTAATAAAAAATTATATTTTCTATTTTCAGGTTCGAGACAGAATGTCCATAGACCAAATTCAACCCTTAGATATAAAAATTCCAGAACAAGATGTTCTAGGCAGAGTATATTGCAAATACGGAGGAAAAATTACGTGATGAATTTAAATTAAAAGTTAAAATAGTAATAATAAATTATATATAAATTTAAAAATTGTTTATATAAATAATAACCATTTGTTTAATTATTTATAACAACAGAAGTAAATAAAATCGGTGAAAATAAATGTTCACTGTACGTTTTGATCGTAATCCGTGTCATCATCGTTATTTGTTGCAGAATAAAGTAAATTTGTTGAAGAATAAAACAAGTTTGTTATATAATTGTGTTAACAATTTGAATAAATAATGTTTTAGTTGTAATGACATCTTGTAATGTTATATAATGTACTTCATTTTGTCAGGATTTACACCAATTTATTTGTCGGGACCATTCAGTTTTTTTTTGTTTTTGATTTGTGTTTCGAGAGTATATCATTCGGATTTTTATTTTGATATTCGTGTTCCTTTTAATTTGAAAGAGTACTTATAAATGAAAATAATAAGCTTACAAAATAAAACATAAGATAACGTTTCTAAATTTTATTTAAAATTTTTATACTAGATATTCTACTAAAAATTTTGTTCACATTGCACGATTACTCTTTTCATAACGCTTTCGTTAATTGATTTACTAATTTTGTTTTTGAAAAAGTTTTACAAGTCATTTAATATATATTTTGATCTTGAAAACTATACTAGCTATACAATTAATTTCATTTACAAAATCTATATTAATTTTTTTGATATATTTTTTCAAATTTTATAAAATACTAGTTTATTCGACCATTGTACACTAGTGTACAAATTTATATTAAATTAAGAATAAACAAAATATAATGTGTTCAAAAAAGCGTTCATGTACATTCGATAAATATTCGAAGTTTCAAAAGTAAATAGTATTTTGTGTCAAAATATTAAAACTAATTTTAAAAAAAGTATAATTTTTCGTCGAGAATTTTAGAATTTTGCAAAAAATATAATTTATTTCGGAAAATTTTTATTAGTTTGAAAATTTCGATGTTTATTGAAAATTTCCAGATATTTTTCTAAAAGTTTGTATTTTGTTAAAAAATGTATATAACATTGGAAAAATTGTATTTCGTTAAAAAAATATATATATTTTAGTAGAGAAATGTATATATTTTGTTTAAAAATGTATATTTCAGTTGAAAAATGTATATTTTATCTAAACAATTTATATTCCGTTGAAAATATTGTATTTCGTAAAAAATTAATTTTTGTTAAAATATTTATATTTTTTGTTAAAATATTTATATTTTTTGTTAAAATATTTATATTTTTGTCTGAAAAATAGATTTTTGTTAAATAATTTTGATTGTCAAAGGATATCAAATTTAATATTCGGATATTTGTCGAAATATTTGAATATTTGGCAAACAGTCCAAATCTTTATTGAAAAATTTTGAAACCTTGGCAAAAAAATTAATTAATTGTCGAAAAATTCAATTATTTTTCGAAAGTTTCAAATATTTGTCGAAACACTCGAATCCTCGTCAAAAAATTCGAAGTTTGTCGAACAATTTGAAGCTTGTCGAACAATTTGAAGCTTGTCGAACAATTTGAAGCTTGTCGAACAATTTGAAGCTTGTCGAGCAATTTGAAGCTTGTCGAACAATTTGAAGCTTGTCGAACAATTTGAAGCTTGTCGAGCAATTTGAAGCTTGTCGAAAAATTTGCAGTTTGTCCTAAAATTTGAAGATTTGCCGAAAAATTCAAATCTTTGTCAAAGAATTCGATTATTTGTCTAAATGATCGAATCTTTGTCGAAAAGTTCGATTATTTGTCTTGATCTTCGTCAAAATAATGAAATTTCTGTTAGAATATTTAAATCTTTGTCGAAAAATTCGAAGCTTATCGAACAATTTGAAGCTTTACGAAAAAAATTCGAATCTTTATCGAAAAATTTAAATCTTTATCGAACAATCAGAATCTTCGTAAAAATATTCGAATTTTTATCGAACAATTAGAATCTTTGTCAAAATATTCGAATCTTTATCAAAATATTCGAATCTTTGTCGACAAATTCGAATAATTATAAAAAAATCGAATACTTGTGGACAAATTCGAAATATTAGAATTTTAGTCAAAAAAATACGAATTTTTATTGAAATATTCATATCTCTATCGAAATATAAGAATATTTGTCGACAAATTCAAATCTTCGTCGACAAAATCGAATCTCCGTTGACAAAATCGAATCTCCGTTGACAAATTCAAATCTTCGTCGACAAATTCAAATCTTCGTCGACAAATTCAAATCTTTGTCGACAAATTCAAATCTTCGTCGACAAATTCAAATCTTCGTCGACAAATTCAAATCTTCGTCGACAAATTCAAATCTTCGTCGACAAATCCGAATCTTCGTCGACAAATCCGAATCTTCGTCGACAAATCCGAATCTTCGCCGACAAATCCGAATCTTCGCCGACAAATCCGAATCTTCATCGAAAAATTGCAATTTTTGTCAAAAAAATCGAATTCAAATAATTTTGAACACAATCCCAAACATTGTTAAATATCAAATTTTCAAAACTTCAAACTCCTAGCAAATATAAATTATAAACAAAATAATTTATTTAAAATATAGTAAACTAAAACTAAATGTGATCACTAGAATAGTGATGTATATAGTGTAAAATAACAACTTTCATATTATTTTTTAAATTAATTCTAATTAAAAAAAATACTATTCAATGACCAATCGAATATTTTATACGAATAATTCAAATTAATTAATTATTATTAAATGATAATTGTTAATAAACAAAATATGAAAATTATCATTATTAATTGTAAGGATTTATGGAAAAAATATGTTCTTGTTGAATATTTGTTGCTTGTAAATTGCTGTTTGAAAAATTGTGGAAATATCTTGTGATAATATATATATATATATATATATATATATATATATATATATATATATATATAAAATTATAAAATAATACTTTCAAGTATTTTTTAATATTTTCTTTTCACAAAACCATCATCAATTTCTGTCAACTCTTGAACATACATTATGTCAACTTGTTCAAGATATTCTCTTTATATATGAAAGATTGATAGTTTTTGTTTGAAATATATACAAATATATATATATATATATATATATAAATATAATATATATATATATATATATATATATATATATATATATATATATTATCCCAAGATACATAACAAAAATATCTGTTACAAAACAAATTTTATTTACATAAGTATCTATTCAATAAACTTAGTCTAAAGTTTCGAATTTGTATAAACCTATGTGTATATATTGACGATATGTAAAAATATTATTAAAAATAATAAATAATGATACTATTACACCAATGGATATCATTTCGCTGATGAATTTATTACAAAATGTTATTAATTTATTATCTCCGTCGAAATAAATAATGATACTATTACACCAATGAATATAATTTCTCTGATAAATTTATTACAAATGTTATTATTAATTTATTATTTCAGTCGATTGTATCAATGTCATAAACATGTAATATCAAATTGTAATTACTTATAGCATACGGTAATTAAAAACAGTTAAATCACTCATTTTGATTACTATATATCGTAAAACATACTCGTATATGATTATGTTTATAAATAGAATTGAATGAGACCGAGAGCCAACGACTCGATAGATGTTGTAACATTGTTAGAAAACTTAGATCGTAACAAATTTATAACTTGATAGAGGTGTCAAAATTTAAAAAATATGATAAAAGTGAAAAATATAATTAAAGGTTACTTAAAATTTTTAAAATTATATATGTCACATTTTTGGGGCTTGTATCATTTTATTTTTCCAGTTTTGATTTATGTATAGAATGAATAAACCTTAATGTTTTATGCAAGTTCATCCAGCTTTTTTGTTTCAGTTTTTTTTGAAATCCAAAAATAACTTTTCGCATCCATGATTTTTTATATCCACTATAGTATTTTTAACGACTGTTTTAACTTAGTGATAGTCAACAATTTATTATTCATATTATGCAATAAAATGTTTACAATCGTGTTTTCGATATTTAGAATCCATTTCCAAAATCTAGAATTAAATTTTGAAACATATAATGCACTCGTTTACTGTTCAATTTAGATTTTCAGAAATCAGATTTGAAATGTAGAATCCGGTCAGGAAGTCTATAATTCAGTTTTGAAGAATATAATTTTATTTAAAAGTCTATAATTTTATTTAAAAGTCTATAATTTGGTATCGAATTTGATTTGGTTAGCGTGCAATTTTACAAGTCTAAGATGAGGTTTCTAAGTCCAAGATGAGGTTTCTAAGTCCAAGATGAAGTTTCAAAGTCCAAGATGAGGTTTCTAAAACCAAGATGAGGTTTCTAAAACCAAGATGAGGTTTCTAAGTCCAAGATGAGGTTTCTAAGTCCAAGATGAGGTTTACAAGTCAAAGATGAGGTTTCTAAGTCCAAGATGAAGTTTCAAAGTCCAAGATGAGGTTTCTAAAACCAAGATGAGGTTTCTAAGTCCAAGATGAGGTTTCTAAGTCCAAGATGAGGTTTCTAAGTCCAAGATGAGGTTTACAAGTCAAAGATGAGGTTTCTAAGTCCAAGATGAAGTTTTAAAGTCCAAGATGAGGTTTCTAAAACCAAGATGAGGTTTCTAAGTCCAAGATGAGGTTTCTAAGTCCAAGATGAGGTTTCTAAGTCCAAAATGAGGTTTCTAAGTCCAAAATGAGGTTTCTAAGTCCAAGATGAGGTTTCTAAGTCCAAGATGAGGTTTACAAGTCAAAGATGAGGTGAGGTTTACAAGTCAAAGATAAGGTTTACAAGTCAAGTCAAAGATGAGGTTTGCAAAAGCAAGATATTTTTACAAGTCTAAAAAGAGGTTTACAAGTCTCAAAAGAGGTTTACAAGTCTAAAAAGAGGTTTACAAGTCAAAGATGAGGTTTACAAGTCAAAGATGAGGTTTACAAGTCAAAGATGAGGTTTACAAGTCAAAGATGAGGTTTACAAGTCAAAGATGAGGTTTAC